CTGGGTGAAGGGGGTGAAGACCCAGGTCAGGGGGACCTCAGAGGTCCTGACACATCACCTGCACGCTGGCGATGAACCGGGCCTCAGAGGGGAAGTGACCCGCCAGGTCACACCTCCACCCAGAGCCAGCCCGGGCGAGACCTGGGCCAGGCTCCCAGCAGGCCCTCTGCCCCCTGCCCTCTGGTCAACAACGAGGAAGCCCACGCCGTGGCTGCTTGGCCTCGTGAGGCCCAGGCTGAGCTAAGGGCTTCGTCACACTGACTCAGAGCCCACAGCAACCTGTGCGGCCGGTGCTGTGACCGCCCCCACTTCCCCAGGCGACCCTGAGGCCCGGAGCCTTCCAGTGGCCCTCGAAGTGGCACAGCTCCTGGGGCAGATCCGGCACCCAGGCTGTTAACCTCTCCGCTCCACGTGGCACCGAATAGGACAGGACTCAGGAGGCCAGGGCCACAAAGGGGCTGCAACCAGCGAAGGAGCATGTTTTAAAGCCCAAAGAAATCTTCTTCAGGTGCCTGTGCCGCAAAGGAGGCCAGAGAGAGAAGCAGTCACTCTGTCCAAGAGGGAAAGGCCGAGCATCCGGAGCAGCAGGCGCGTCTGACATCCTGCTGCCACTCCCGCGAGCTGAGGCGAATCCGGGCGTCACTCCACCTCCTGCTCCCATCGGGAGCGGCCGGGGCGAGCCCCCGGAGACTGGAAGAGCCCCCCGAGGCGGAGAGAGCGGGACAGTGACACTCAGCCGGGGCCCCGCAGCACGGAGAGGCCAGAGCGGCAGGGAATCGGAGCGGATGGGCGAAACCTCCAGGGCGGGCCAGGCAGGCGTGGGCTTACCTTCATGGCGGGACACAGACCGACCTGACAGCCGCCTCGCAGTCACATTAACGCCGGCACCTTGCCCGCGTCGGAGCGCCTGTCAGAGACTCGGCGAGACTGTGGCAGGCCTCATGGCTCGGCAGGAGGTGCCCGGGCCAGGTCCACTTAATCTCCACCCACGGAGTGGGACGGGTGGCACAGGGCAGCTGACGATGCAGGGTCCCCGGTTCGGGGAGTCCTGGTGGATGAGCCAGAATGGTGGGGGCTGGCTGCTGGGAGGCCCCACTTCCCTCCCACCCCCTTGCAGAATGCATGGTCAGCGGGCAGGGCACGCCGGGTGCCAGCTGCCAGGTCCCTGGGCCGTGAGTCCAGGAGGCAGCTGGAGGGACAGTCCAGAGGTCTCTTCCTGAGAAGATGCTGCAGAGCTTCTCACTCTCATCAATGCCAACCCAGTGGCAGGGCCCTCCCTGCGTCCAGCTCCCAGGCCCTCGGTAATGCCAACCCCATTACTGACCGGGGCAAGAAGGCTGGTGCCAGGCTCTACCCCTGTGCCGCTGGCCCCACAGCCCTGGGCCGAGGCCACGCCCTGAAGTGCCCACTGGACATCCACCTCCTGGGCCTGAGAAAGTTCCTTTCCCAGCCTGCTCTGAGAAGACAACCCGGGAAGGAGTCTCATGAATGTCTGAGGGGTTTGCAGAACGAGCCAGGCTCGTGGGAACAGGCCCTGACAGTCTTCGCTTCTAAGAATGTGGAGTCAGCACGACGGAGGACGCAGCCCGCAGGGTCAGGCTGGGCCCGGGGGTGAGCTGACGCCCGCCTGCTGCAGGGAGAGGAGGGAGCCCGAAGGGCAGCGGGATGCGAGGGCACAGGCTGGGCATCTGCACCGAGGTGTCCATTCTGCAAACACCTGCTGTGACGACGGGCAAGGGGCACCCAGTCAAGCGCTCGAGGCAGAGGTCACAGCACGGAGCCCTCTCGGGGCGACGCTGGGAGACCGTCCCGCCCCGGTGAGCAGCACTGCTGGCGGGAAGAGGCCAGGGAAGCCCAGTGAGGAGGGCCTTGGCGCTGAGCCTGAGGGGCAGGGAGACCCCGGGCCTGAGCAGGCTGGACGTGGCAGGCAGAGATGGTGTGTGCTCACATCAGCTCTCAGGCAAGCAGGTGTGACCCCAAGTGCCAGAACGTTTAAAAACACAGGCTTGTCCTGAAAGAAACTCTGCTCGGCTCCCTTCCACGTTGGCCCCTGTCCTGTGGCCACGAGGACCAGGCCAGGCCCCTCGCCGGGGTCCCATCTGCCCTGTTCACACCTCCCTCCACAATCCTGCTCCTGCTGTTCCCCCACCTGGCAGGTCGTTCCTTCCTCCGTGCGAGGCCAAGCACCCTTCCGCCGCCCCTCCACACACACACACACACACACACACACACACACACCCCGCTGGCCTGCCCTCTGGCTCGGCAGGGCCCCCGCGACCTGGAGTGTCTCTCTTCACTTCAACAGATGCATCCACGTCCCTACACTCACTTACTCAGGGCGGGCACCGCTCCTCCCACGCCCACGAGAGCCAGCGGCCCCGGCCAGGCACCTCTCCACTCCCGCCCGTGTGAAATAAGACAGTGAGACTCAGGCCAGCCGGAGGCTCCGGTGGTCTGCAGGCCCAGCCTCTCCCTTTCCCGCCCTCTGGGGCAGGCAGCCTCTTCAAGCGCCATGCCAGTGTCCGCGGTGCTGGGCGCTCCCGAGATCCCCCCACCCGGAAGACGGAGCAGGCTTCCCGCCCCAGCTCCTCCACGTCTGGCTTCGTGGCCTTGGGAGACTGACCTACCCTCTCTGCCTCAGTTGCTTCATCTACAAAATGGGCATAAGTATGCAGGTCCCGGAGCCCAGCACACAGCACGTGCCCAGGCCCTGCTGGCCGAGCCCTGGCCGGGCTCTGTGTGCACACCCTGCCCTCTGCCCCACTCCCTGGCACTCCCCTGAGCCACTCACTGACGATTACACTTCAGAGGACAAATCAGCACCATGTACAGCCAAGACACCTTTAATCTTTCCCAGGGATGCGGCTACAGGTACTGTGGCCTCTTCCTCCTTGTCATTCAATTCTCATTTCAATTTGGCCAGCTAGAGCATGGCTTTCCCTCCTTCTCTTTTCACTCACCTAAGATGGTCAACTTCTCTCAGCAGTCAGGGCTCGGAGACCGAGCTGCCCACAGACCGGGGCAGGCCGGGCACTGTGACAGCGGGAGCGCCTGGGGGCATGGGAGCTGCTGCCAGGGGGGAGGCCGGGCCCTGTGAGGGGCACCTGTGCCAGGCAGAGGCCCTGAGCCGGAGGCTCAGTACAGAAGCTACTTCTCTTACTTTTCTGCGAGTCCTCAAAAGTCTGGAGTAGACACTGTATTTTCTAACTACCCAACGTCTGATTAGATGCTAACGGGAAATTTATATGGAATCTTAGCTTCAGAAAACACACAATGCCAAGACCTACCCATAGCTCATGCCTTAATTCTACACACTCCCACGTGTCCGTGTGTGTGTGTGTGTGTGTGTGTGTGTGTGTCTCACACGGGCTGGCCCACACGGGCCTCAGTTAATGCAGTGGGAAACGGGCAGAAGATAGAGTGACAGAATACAAGAGCAGTTAAGACCTCTAGTCCTGGAGCTAGACCTCCAGAGTTCAAAAGTTCAAATCCCTTCCCCACCAATGACGCGCTGTGTGACCTGCGCCTCAGGGTCCTCCCTGTAAAATGGGCGCCTACCTCACAGGCAGGAGGGATGCCCAGAACAACAGGCATAAGACAGGTGCTGGAACTGCTTGGAGGAGCCACTGCTGGGCACATGGGGGGGTGGGGTAGGAAGTACTAGGGGGGCTGCCAGGTCCCTCCCAGCAGGGGCTGACCACTGAGCTGCTGCCCCTGCCTCCAGCCGGCACCTCTGTCCCCACAGACAGGCCGCGGACTTGTGTGGAGAGAAACCTGGGAGCAGGGGCGAGGGCCCGCCCAGAGTCAGCAAAGGAGGCGGCAGGCAGCAGCCAGGGGGAGGGCCGCAGCACAGAGTCTGCCTCTGCCACCCACATGGCAGGCGGTGGGAGTGGGCTCAGCCCAGCCCCCTCCCCTGCAGGCCGGGCTGCGGAGTGGGAGTGGCCGGAGATGGGAGCGCTCAGTGAGCCCCCTCCCCTGCAGGCCGGCTGCAGCTGCCGAGTGGGAGGGAGTGGGAGCCTCGGCCATCAGTCAGTGCCGCCCCACTTCCGCAGGCCGCCCTCTCCGCCAGGTCACAGGCACCCGGAGGGTTTGGCTGCACAATTAAAGAGGCTTATCCAAGATTTATAGAGGGATTATGCCCGCAGGGTGTTACCGACGACAGCCTCTGGACACTGTGGTCCTTAGAAAAAGCAATTAGAGTGCCGGGTTATATGGGTATAAATATACAGGCGCCACCCAAGGTCGGGTTCCACAGGAGCTATTTAGGGACGGGGCCTTGGGAGCAGCCAGGAGGGGCGGAGGGGCATCTCCATGGGGTGGTGGGGCTGCTGCCCACTGCCCCCTCCCCCTCCACAGGGCCACCCAGGGTGAAACCTTGTTATGTCGGCCACTTACCGCTCACCGCTGGCTGAGTGCTCGAGTTTCTGACGCAATTCAGGGACAGCGGTGAGCTTGGCCCGGGAGCAGGCCTGTGTGGGGCGGGGGTCCTTGAGGAGAGCAATCCGCCCTCCCACAGCCCTCACCTCCCACCCACCCTGCTTCCCGGAGCCAGAGCCAGCAGCAAGATGTGACCACGGCCCCACCCGCACCACCAGACGGCTCCGTCTTAGGCCTCGGGTTCCTGATCCCGCAAACGTGCTTCAGAACCTGCTGGCGGGCCCCCGACGGCCCCTTAGATAAGGCCCCTCCTGCCCTTCCCGCACCCTCCCCTCTGCCTGAGAACAGCGGCTGCTCCACCAGCTCCCACACCAGGAGCACTGCCGGTCCCTCCTGCCTGGCCGCCTCCGATAAGTCCTGCACACCCGCCCCTCGCCCCCAGGAGCCACCCAGCTCCCGGCAAGGCCTCAGCCAGTGCTCCGAGGAGAGACCGAGGCCCACAGGGCAGGGCCCAGGGCGGGCAGAGCCCCCGGCAGGACCCAGCGGATGGCGGGGGGCAGTGCACGGCGAGGTGTGAGACAGGCCCCATTCCCACGACGGCCCTCAGGCGGCGCCCGACTCACCGTCCTCCCGGGACTTCTGGATGAAGGCCTCCACGCCACTCTCGCCGTAGCTGCCCTCCGAGGCCAGCGTGGACACGTAGTTCCACTTGAGGGCGCGGACGATGTCCACCATGGCCTGGGCCTGGAACGTGTCCGAGGGCACCACGCGGGAGAAGAAGTCGTAGCGGCTGTTGTCGCTCAGGTCCGGGGCTGTGGAGGCGTAGCTGATCTGGGGGATCTGGAGGGGAGAGGGGCCACTAATGGGGGCGGTTGGCACCCCGTGCCCATCCGGTACCGCACCCCTACACACAACCTCCCTCCAGTCCCCCAGCCTTCCCGCGGGCACGGCCTCCTCGATCCTGCGGGGCACCCTGTGACATGGAGGAGACGGAGGCCCAGAGAGGGTGGGCCAATGGTAGGCTGGCCTTGCCTCTGGCTGCAGCCCAGGTCCTGGTGCCACCCACCTCCAGTCGGCTCTCCCTGGCCCTGTGCCCCTGTGGGCCGCCCACTCCCAGGAGTGAGACTGGCATTGGGTGGGGCCGTGCCTGGCACCTCAGCACCAAGCCCCCTCCAGCTTACCTGGGTCCTGCAGCCGGTGGTCCCCCAACCACACACCACGAGGTCATCGGGAACCTCACACATGCACACACATGCAGGCACATGTGTTCACATGTGCACACAGGCATCTATACATACACACTCACAAACATGCACGTGTATACACACCCCAGGGACCTCTGGGGGCCTTGATTTACATAAAGAGCTGGAAGATCCCAGCGGGGGAAATCCCCAGGTGTGAGGGATGGTCTGGCTGGGGATGGGGTGGGGTGATGTAGTAAGAGGGGACCCTGAGGTAGACCCTGGGTCACCACCAGCAGACCCTGTCCCCACAGCTCCCTCTGGACGCAGGCTCCAGCTCCCCTCGTCCCCCGCCACGCCCCCCTGCCCTCCTGTGGACGGGATCCCAGGAGGCCAGAGTGGGTGGGGCCTTTGGGAGCCCCTCTCCCACAGTCTGGGACTCGGGGCCCAGAGGGGCAGGGCCCGCCGCCCCACAGGCTCTAGGCCTGCTGCCCCGGCTCCCACTTACCGCAGCCTTGGAGCACCTTCCCGGCCCACAGCCCCCGCCTCCCCACCCGCCACCCCCGGCAAAGGGGAGACTCGGAGGGAGCCCTCAGGCTGCCTGCCTCCTGGGGTTGAACCTCCAAAGCTTGTGTAAAGGCCCGTGCAGACCTCCTGGCCTCCCCTCCCCCGGCCCGCACTTGGCCCCCGTGCCTCCGCACAGGTGCACCGCCCGGGCTCCCCAGGGTGCTCGATGCTCCACGCTCTCCATTCCTGACCCTGTGCACACCAAACGCACTGTTCCTGTGCCCTCTGCCCTGCCCTCGGCTGTCCAGGCTGACAGGGCGAAGTGTGGCATAATGATCTGGGCTGATGTCAAGCCTAAGATGTATCCGCCTAAGGAATCACTGAGATTCCATCCTGGCCACAAACACCTGTGGCCAGAGCTTTCGTCCCTGCGGCAACGGAGGTGGGAAATGTTCTGGGCAGGAGGCTTGGGGACGCCCCCAGGACACGCGGTGCCCACCGAGCCTGTGCCTCTGGCGTCCCCACTCCAGGGAGAGCCAGGCACACCTTCCACCACGGAGGAAAAGGCGTGGCCAGCTCGGCCCTGCAATGGCCCCAGCAGGCCCCGTGAGCTCACTCGTGGGGAGGGACCCAGCCCCTGGGAGGCGTGGGGAGCCCCGGTGAGGGAGCCAATGACTGTTCTGGATTGTCTGGGCAGCTGAGCCCCACTCGCTGCATTTCTGTGCTCACTCGCTGCAGACCCTCCATACAGACACTTTGGAAAGAACGTGGTGAAGAAGCGATGGCCACACAAGGAACACTGTGCAGCTGCGAAAAGGAGCAGGCAGCTTTCCAGGCCTGCTCAGGGCCGCTCTCTGAGACACAGGCCCAAAACCGCAGCAACAGAGAAGCAGGGGCAGCCTGGCGCCCCTGTTGGTGAGGGGCCGTGCATACCCGGCTGTAAACACACAGACCCTCCACAGCACGGCTGAGGTGTCTCTGGAGGGAGCCATGGCCGGGGCAGGGCTGGGCAGACACCTTTCACCTTACAGCCTTTGTGCCTTTTGCAGACATCACCCTTGGAACACAAGCACCTGTGAATCTTGGTGAGCACACGGGCCCTCTTCCACCTGTGCCAGCACGGTCTCTGCCTGGAGGGAGAGCACTTACTAGGAGCTGAACACCCGCCCCAGCTGGGGTGACCAGGAGGCTCATGCACTGCGGAAAGACAAGTACAGAGCACACTCCCTCTTGACTCCTCCTACCAATAGGCATTAAGTGACAGCCTGCCACGTGTAGCGAGCGCTGAGGACTGGAGACAGACGGTGACCACGGCCCTTGTGGCTCCCGATCTAGACCGACACGTCAATGGAGGTGACGCAGGGCCGTTAGATGGACGAGGTCCGGACGGAAATGGAAGAGGGAGGAGCAGGGGCTGTCAGAGAGGGGGGCCGGGAAAGCCCCTCTCACAGGTGACAGTGGAGGTAAAAACCCAAGGAAACGAGGGTCGAAGCCACGTGGGGACTTGAGAGAGGGCGTTTCATGCAGAGGAAACAGCCAGTGCAAAGGCCCGTGTGCATGTGTGCATGTGAGTGCACATGTGTGAGCAGGCATGTGCGTTGTGTCCATGCACACTGTTCTCAGGCTGCCGTGCTGACCTGCAGCCACACACACCGTGGTCCAGTAAGTCTGCCGGCACAGACTCAGGCCCGGGATCACTGGCTCCCAGGCTGACAGCAGCCGGTCCAGCCCACACACCCGGAGAGGAGAGGGGGTGCCTGGCCCCCTTAGGGCTCAGATTCCTGGGCTGGTGCTTTGTTCAAGGCTTTTCACAACAGGCAGGAGTGAACCTACCCTGACCTGCACGAGGCCGACACCCCAAGCCAAGTGGATGGCTGTCAACCACTGCAGCTGCCCCAGGCCCCCTGACAGAACCCAGGCCCCCTGACAGAACCCAGAAGCACCTCCTCCGACCCTTCCCCAATGCTGGCACAGCACGGAAGCTCCCTGCGCACCCTGGAGCCAGCCTGCCCGGGCTGTGCCACCCAGCCTGCCTGGGACTGTGCCACCCAGCTTTGCCATCCTGTGAGACCTTAGGAAAGCAAGAGGCCTCTCCAGGCCTCAGTTCCCCCCCCCAAAGTAGTCATAGCAACAACAGAGAGGACCGAATTAGTGAGTCCCCGCAAAGTGCTTAAAACACAGGGGCCCTCAGCAAACACTAGAGATTATTACTGGGAGGGAGGCAAGGCTGGGCCCTTATGCCCATTTCACAGATGAGGAAAATGAGGCTCAGAGAGATGAGAATGCCCTCTGAACATCAGAGCCAGGAGATACCTGAAGCCTCATCCCCTCCGCCAGGGAGCAGGACCATGCACGGGGCGGGCAAACCCTGGCGTGAGCTGCCTGCTCCGGGCCCTCGCACCCCAGCTGCCTGAGGCCTCGGCACCGGCTCTCAGCATCACTTTTCCAGCCAGGGAGAGTCCACCTGCCCGATGCCAAGGAGAGTCAGCCCTGACCAGGCCCAGGTGACAGCGCCAGGAGCAGAAGACAGAGTGACCCCAGCGCACACCATACCCCTGGGCACCCCACCATCATCTGAGCACAGAGAGGGGACTTCCAAAGGCAGGGCCTGGGCGGGGACTGGGCCGCCAGTGGAAGTTCCAGGACAGGCCCAGCTAGAACTGCCATCCACCTGCCCCCCAGCTCCTCAGGCCACACACAGGGCCTCCCCCCACTCACCGGGCACTGGGCTGCCGGCCTGCCCTGAGGGGATGCAGGTCAGGACGTCCTCATTGGTGAGACCTCATCACCCTGCTCTGCGGACACAGACCGGCCGTGACTCCCAGCCGAGCACCCGGTCACCGCGCCTGGCCCTGGGCCGCAGACCTGTGCCCCAGCCATCGACTGTCTGCCCCGCCGGCCGCCGGACAAGCCCTGACTGGGCCTTCTGCCAGAGCTAGCCTGCTGGTCTTCCCACCCGAGGCGCCCAGCCTCCCAGCTCTGCCCCTCCCCAGGCCCCCAGCTCTGCCCGTCACACAGGCCCCTGCCTTCACACCGCGGCCTGCAGCGTTTCCCACAGTAACCGAGGAGTGGGCATGAGAGTCTCTGAGGCCACAGGTTTTTAAAAGACGGTAAAATGTGCACCCAAGGCCCACTAGGTCCCTTTGCCACAGCTGCTCCCACAGCAGCCAGCCTCCCCTCCCACACTTGTCCCCGCCCCCCACATCCTCAGAGGCTCTTGATTCGTTCACACAGTCCCTCCTCAGCAGTGGTTTCCTGAGCACTGACTGCTCTGCGCCTTGCACAGCCTTCGGCCCCGGGTGAGCACACAGAGAATGCGGCCGGCCGGAGCTGTCGCTGCTGAGAGAGACGCTCGGTAATGAACAGATGTGCACACGCCTTACGATGGTGCTGGCCTGAGCCTCTGCCAGCCTCTGCCTTCCTGGCACGCGGTCACATTCAGCTCCCTGGCCCTGAGGCTGGCCGGCCCGTGTGGCCTGTCCCAGCCAATGGGCTCGGACAGGAAAGAAGACCCTCCGAGGCCAGAGCACAGCCCTGCCGCTGAGTCCCAGGGGCCCTGCTCCCTCCGCTGCCAGGACCCGCGGCTCCGGCCCCTGAGGAGCCGGGCAGGCCACCCGCCGGCCGTGCAGACGTGGAGCGTGGCAGGATTGCGTGGACGTATTTTAAGCCATAGACTCGGGAATGGTCTGTCCCCGCGGCAGCCCCTCAGCGACACACACTCACACACACACACACTCACACACACACACTCACACACACACTCACACACACACACTCACACACACACACACACACACACACACTCACACACACACTCACTCACACACACACACTCACACACACACACACACACTCACACACACACACTCACACACACACACTCACACACACACTCACACACTCACACACACACACACTCACACACACTCACACACACACTCACACACACACACACACACACACTCACACACACACACTCACACACACACACACTCACACACACACACACACACTCACTCACACACACACACACACTCACTCACACACCTCACACACACACACTCACACACACACACACACTCACACACACTCACACACACACTCACACACACACATTCACACACTCACACACACACACTCTCACACACACTC